GAAAAAAAGTACGTATTTGAAAATTTGAAGAAAAAGACAAAGGTACAAGACTGTACTTAACGGTTTTAGTGAGGGAAAGAACTACAATGCCATGAAGCATTGTGAACAGCATAATCGAAATACAAAAATACTTGATAACTAAGTATAAAAACAATACATATTAAGTTTATTGGAAAATATGCATACATATACGAACATTTTAGTGTTTTGAGAGTGTAGGGAGATCGACTCGATTAAGTCATTCGCAGTGCTTCATGGGAGTGGGAGGAGCTAAAGAGCTATTTTGGAGCGTGTTGCGTTTTTAGACTGATTGGTGTTATTTTCTATACAGCATCAAGGGTAATGTAGTTTTTCTGTAGGAATTCTGTTGTAAAATACAATTATTTAAAAAAATAAGATGAAGTAATGCAGGCTGACGGTTTAAGCAGAAGCAAATACCATGATTTAACAACCTCATAGGTCACAGCAGGGCTGTCTTTAAAGGTTTAAAAAAGTTATCATTAAATCCATTTCCCTATGGAGAAAATGATTGGAGTTTTTTTTACTTCTGGAACCCGACTGTTCACTCTATAGGGTGTTCTGTTCTGAGTGGATGTTATTATGCTGCTATGGCAGTTTCTAGGGTTTTTTTGACTAGTTTCTTAGTCTCTATGAAATTCTGAATTGTTATCATCTGCATTGATTGCTGTGCATGTAGAAAGCCAAAAGCACTGTTTGAAGTAGTACAAAGTACGCTGTGGGGTGACTTGGGTTAGGGGTTTTATAGGGGGCGTTTGTAACCACTAGACAAGCCCATGTGATAAATTCTGCATTAGACTGCAGCTATAAACAACGTTAGAGGGCTTCTATTTTTTTTTTTTTTTTTCACATCACACAACATCCCCCCTCACAAACAGCTTGAGTAATGTATCGGGGTGAACTGTGCTTTCCAAAGTTTGCTTTTAGTTCACTAAAAAGGCACTCAGATCTCTTTCACTGTTCCCTCTCTAGGTTTACCGCAGTCAGTCAACAGTCTACACCTTCTTGCAGAGCTTCAACACACAGACGTCTAGGACCTGGATTCCTGGGATCAGGGCCGATTCTGGCCATTTTGGAGCCCTAGATCGCCTGCCCCGCTCATTGGCATCCCTTCAACTGTTGGCGCTATATAGGCAACCGCCTAGTTTACCTAGAATCGGCCCTGTCAGGGATGAATTTATGGCTGTGTCTGAAATCGCATACTTCCCTACTAAAAGAGTTGGCAAAAAGTCCCCGAATGGCTGTAGGGTCACATGATAATGAAAACATGGCGACATTCATACTACACACATTCATACTATAACATTGGACATACTTTTTTAGCGGTTGTTAAATAATTGCTTATTCAAAATAAGTACCTCCTCAAGAGAGTATGCGATTTCGGACGCAGCCCATGACTTCTAAACTCATCTGCACTATCTGCCAATATATATCATTGTCATTTCTCTCGACACATTCAAAACTTACAGAACTGCAACTCTGAGCGGTTACAAAAGACCCAACGCTGCATACCAAACTGACTCTTCGTGTCCGTAGCTGTGGTTTAGACATTAAAATAAGTGAGGAATATCGATTACTCTGTCACTGGTATGGAGGGGGACAGATCCTTTCCTGACTAATTTGTAGGAAAATGCACCTTGCGGCTCCTCTTCTGACACGGTGTTTATTCAGGGGGAAATAATTGGTAATAGCTGAAAGGTAACGTGAGCAGAATGATTCTCATATTTCTGCCCGTGCCGGTAACGTCTCATGCATTTTTATGCTGTACATGAGCAGTATTAGAACTGATAATGTTCAGTAATTAAAGCTGCATGAATGGGTGAAATGGAGCCTGTGCTAAAACCCATTGCTTAGTTTCTTATAGTTCAGCAATTCCCAACGATGTTCAATTGGCGGACCATTTAAAAAAAAAAGAAGTGAGGACCACAGAACACCCCATTCTGCTTTGTTCATATTTGATTGCAATTCAAATTTAAAGCAGAATTGAAATTCAAAGAAATTTATACAGCAATCTCGCTGATTTCGGATGCAGCCATTGAGATGAATGGGAACGCTACCAGGTAAATGAATCTAATGTTTGCTATAGCCACCTAATAAATGAAATACAGAATTAGTGTTTTCTTATTAGAAATGACTTTCCATTATGACCACAAAAAACTGACACATTCAATCATTCACGCACGTCTGCTCGTTCACTTAATAAGAAGTAGGGCTATTGTCTTTCTGCGTTTTTGAATATTCAAATCACATGTTGCACAATTCCATCTCTGATTTGGTTCAAGGGTTAGGATTGTTTACCACAGAATTTTCTGAAATGTTCATGTAGAAAATGAATGAGAAATTAAGCCTACATCTGAACCCCGTGCTGTTGAAAAAGTGTGTGATTTCTGTTGAGCTCTATCATGACAGGTCTAATGCAGAAAGGATTTGTGTGATTGATGATAGGGGATTTGATTTTCCTTAATTCGAATTTGATGATCATAGTTTGAGACATTTTACCACAACAAGTAGCAAACGGAGAGCAGAAAGGAGGGCGGATGTAATCCGACTCATCCCGCAGGAGTCGTACTGCAAGGATGAGCCCTTCTAAAATAATGTGGCTGATCCAGGCCAATTTGTTTAGAATCAGTGGGATTTGACTACGTCTCAGTTAGTGATCCTAAAATAATGGGAGTTGTCATGGACAAAAGGCGGAGACGACATAAATCCACAGAATCCATGCGAATCAGGGCTGCCGCTCCAGAGCGCATCGGGTGTTTTTCCTCCATCTGTCATTAGTACAGTAAATCCAGGCCACGGCTGATGTTTACCGCTGCTGTCCGTGTGTCCTGTCGGATGCATTTGTGCACACAGTGCCCTACTGTTCCACGAATACGTTGTTTTCTGCCAACGCTTACTCAAAAATACATTTATGCTACCTGCAAGTTACTTAAAATGAACTAATGGAAGACAATTGTTTGTTGGGTTTTTCCCCACAAAGTCATTTTAGAAAAAATTTTGTCTGGAGAATTGTGTAGAGACAACATGAATCATGTTTGTTCGTTCAAGCAAGGGATTCACCCCCAACCCCTGGAATGTTTTGTAAGGGCCTTAATGAGGAGAATAAATGTTGAAATTAAGTGTGTTTTGAGTAAAAGTAGAAAAGAGTGAGACTTTTTTAGTGTTTATGTTTTAGAGTTTTTATCCTGTGGGTTTTGGGAGTTAACATTGTGGTGAAGAGTGAAGATTGTGTTATGTTGAGGATTGGCCATATTATTATTATTATTATTATTATATAATTGTATGCAATTATTTGAAGAATCATTTGTCAATGTTATGATGGAATTTTTATTTCTATTGCATGTAGAAAAAAAGAAGATTTTAAGTGTGTTAATGAAAGCTAAACGAAATGATATTCTAACGGAACGTTTTGCTAACATGCTCATTAACATACCCATAAAACGTTATTTCTGAATGTTCCCTGAACTTTCCTATGGAAGCTTGTTTCCACCACTGAATTTAAAAAAAATAATAATAATAATTGCGACTTTTTATCTCAAAATTGCGAGATATGAAGTCGCAATTCTGAGAAATAGTCGCAATTGCGAGATAGAAATCTCACAATTCTGTCTTTTTTCTCACAATTGCGAGTTTACATCTCGCAATTCTGACGTTATAACACATAATTGCGAGTTTATATCTCGAAATTCTGACATCTTTCCTCAGAATTGTGAGATATAAACTCGCATTTGCGAGTTATCATGCCAATTCTAAGGAAAAATAAAAGACTAACTTTTTTCCTCTCAGAATAGTTTATATCTCACAATTCTGACTTTACAACACGCAATTTCGACTTTATATCATGCATTTCTGACTTTATAACACGCAATTGCGACTTTATATCAATCAATTCTGACTTTATATCTCGCAATTCTGACTTTATATCTCGCAATTCTGACTTTATATCACACAATTGCGACTTTATTTCACGCAATTCTGACTTTGCAACACGCAATTGCGACTTTATATCAATTCTGACTTTATATCTCGCAATTCTGACTTTATATCTCGCAATTCTGACTTTATATCTCGTAATTCCGACTTTATAACACGCAATTGCGACTTTATATCAAAAAATTCTGACTTTCTATCTCGCAATTCTGAGAAAAAAAGTCAGAATTGTGAGATAAAAAGTCGCAATTACCATTTTTATTTTTCATTCTGTGGCGGAAACAAGCTTCCATACTTTCTAACCGTTCAGTTTTTTAAATGTTTTAAAACCTTTTTTTATTGGTTATACGAACATTCTGTTTTATAATTTTGCAAATATTATGGGAATGTTACTTTTGAATGGTCAAGTTGAAAAACGTTAGATGAACGTCCAACAAAAACATTCCATGTAAATAGCATTTTGTGAACATTCTACTGAAAGAGCGTTTGTTCATAACTTAGAACTTTCAAGTTCATCCATTACTCCGCCATCCTTCGGTGTCACATGATCTGAAATCATTCTATGCTGATTTGCTGCTCAAGAAACATTTCTTACGGTATTATCAATGTTGAAAACAGTTGTGCTGTAAAAACCATTATACATTTTTTTTCAGGATTCTTTGGTGAGTAGAAAGAATTTTTATTTATTTGAAATATAAATAATTTGTAACAATGTAAAAGTCTTTACAGTCACTGTATTAATTTCCAGCCCGTTCTCATCCTTTGGCGTCATACATGTGACGCTTTGTACATTTCGTTGAAATCTTACGCACATGGCATCCTTTAGCATCAATATGGGTGACGCTCGTCTAAATCCGACGCACATGGCATCGTTTAGCGTGAATATGAGACGCAGATCCCAAGGCGTCATAACCGTAACCCTACCCCAGACCTAAACCTACCCATAACAGTGCGTGTTATATTGACGCTAAAGGATGCCATGTGCGTAAGATTTCGACGAAATGTCATATGGCGTCACCTATATGACGCCAAAGGATGAGAATGCGTTTCAAAACAAAACAATCTTACCGACCCCAAACTCTTGAACGTTAGTGCGTGTATACTGGTTGCATGATTAGGAAAAGTATGAAAAGTTATTATTGAAGAGAAAGTAAGAAATAAGAAAGTTCTCATATTTCATTACTGTTATCCACTGGTTTTCATCCTCTTGTTGTTGTGTTTGAATAGTCATCAGTACAGCTGTGAAAAGTCAATCACCGTATGAGCAACCAGCATTTCCTTTTCCTGGCTTTTCATCCATGTAATCCCATTCTGCCATAATCAGACCGGGATTTCATTTAATCAATGCCCTAAGCCTCGGAAAGTCAATTCTCGTCCACCTTCATTCATTTCGTTTCCTCTTTCTGAAAGTGTTCCTGAAGGTTTCTGGTTCACATACAGTTATCATTTAATCTAGATTTCATTTATTCACTGTCATTAATTCTCAGTGTGGTTGTGTTTTGATCAATTGATCAAATAGATCTGAAAGAAATGAGACCACACTTAAAGCCCTCAATGTAAAGTCCAGACGCTTAAGGATCATATTCCCATCAAATCCTATATAAATATGTGACGAGAGAGATTGTGGATGATCCTATACCTATCTGGAAACAACGAAATTCCCTGCATAAACAACCAATATCGGAATAAGTTCAAGTAAACAAGAAAAAGTTGTTTTTCTCACAAGTCTGTCGGTTTCAGTCAACACTTGAAGATTTTATGAATTTAAGTGCCTCTCAAACTCTGAAGGGTCACTAGGGATAAAAGTAGCACATGGCAGATGAAGCCTCAATGCATTTGAGCAGTGCATTGTGGGAAATATTATTGGGCAAAGTAACACTGGCTTCTGTCGAGCCAATGCCATAAAAGCATACGGATAATAACTTCACAAGTAGACAGACGTGATCTGTCTTTCCAGGTAAAGAATAAAAAAGGAAGAAAGGAAACAAGAAAGGATTTAGTCCCAAGACGTCTCGTAATTTAGGCTGGAAGGTTTCTTTTTCACCTTTTACAATTTATATTATGACATTTACATTTCTGTCCACACTTTCAATCATAAATAAAAAAAGAAACAAACACATCACACCCTTCAGACTGCAATTTTTCTGTGTCAGAGCTGAGATTTTTGCAAATATAAATTGCATCTCTAGCCGCGTGTGAATGATTCAAAGTATTCATTAAGCAATTGCTCCGATGACTGAACATCATAATTATTCTGTGGCTGAATACAGATTGGTGAGTGTAATTATCATTACCTTTGACCCTTAATAGTCCATAAAGTAATGACCTTTGACCCCTGAGGAAAATGTAGTGCCTTATTTTCTAGGAGAACTGAATTGAAGCTACTGCAAATGGAGCATTTGACATTAATTAGAGTCCAATCGTAATGCAAGGAATAGTTTTATTCACAGTGACTGAACCCAAGGCCAGACTGTTTGGACATAGTCTGAATGCTATAGTGTCGCGTTTGCCAATCTTTCACTCATTAGTGTTCAGTGGTTATCGGATGCTCTGTGTCGTGTACAGACAGTGTTGAAACAGCTTAAATGTTATTTCAACCATAATAATTGGTTTATTAAACTAAAAGGCATCAGTTAGGTTTAATCAAAGGCAGCAGAGAGGAAACAATAGAAAATATTACATTTCGTGGTTTTAAGAGATTGCTAAAAAAAAAAAAAGAATCTGCGACTGGCAACATCAACAATGTTGGCAAACATCAGCAACAATCATAATGAAAGGATTATTATATGAATACAATAATAAATCATATAGCAAAATTGCATATATATATATAATTTTGTATTAGTTAATCAAATATTTGAATTATGTAGAACTGTGTTAAAGCAATATCACACTTCAAATTGTTCCTATGGCTAAAATCACCATGCTATTATTCAGTACAGCATTTTTGCATGGTTGACATTCCTTAAACTTAGACATTGGAAGAAGATTGTGAACATATGGATTATTAATAACATTACTTGCTGCTTTTTTGTTGCACTGTAACAATCGGCCTAATCGGTGGAGTAGATAAAAATGGGGTCAGATTAAACTGTGAGAGTATGGGAAGTGTTTTAAAAGATGAGACGACAACAGAAATAAAGTGAATAAATGAAGTGTATTTAGAATTTCTACCAGGAACGTAAAACAACACAATACAACACTGTAAACCCGAATAAGTTGGCACAACTCAAAAAATGTGAGGCAATCAGTTGCCTCAAATTTTTTAAGTTAAGAAATTCAAAGTTTAAGGAAGCAGAACTGACATATTTTTATTTTGTATTTGTACATTTGAATTGTTCTTAACTTGAAATGTTTGAGTACACTAATTCATACATTTAACTTAAAATTTCATGTAATCTCAATGTGAACACTTTTATTAGTATAAACTTAGCTAACTTAGCGATTTTGTTAACATCTTAACAATAGTATGCTATACAGTAACACTTGCAGCAATATAAAGGTTTTATTAGCTCTCAAATCAAGCTCATGCACCACTTGTCACCATGATGGTAACTATCCTAAAACCAACATTAACAGAAATTCTTCTAAATTAGCATAACGAAACATTAATCATTACTAAATCACCCGCTTAACATTAATCTTGCACAAAAAAACATTGTATTACACTTAATTTTAGCATTTACTCTCCCTTTCGAGTGCCATCGCCAAAGCATGCTGGGAAATATACATCCCAGCCGTTTCAGTTAAACTTAAGTTCGTCTAAATTAAAAGAAATAATTTCATAAAACTCAAAACAATGAAACGGTTCAGTTTACTTAAAATATATCCATTCTGTAAACTTGAAAGAAAAAGAAAGTGCTAAATACTCATAAAAGTTAATTTGACTGAACTAATTAGTTTAATTTAAGTTTTTCCTACTCAAACCAATTAAGTATTTTGAGCGTTAGGGTTTACAGTAAGCATAAAGTCCATTGGTTCCATATACCATAAAAGTGTCACATAGTCATTTGAATGGGAGTTAAAGGGATAGTTCACCCAAATTCTGTCATTACATATGAACCCACCAATTCATTCATCATTTATTTTCCCTCAAGTTGTTCCAAACCTGTATGAATTTATTTCTTTTGTTGAACACAAAAGAAGATATTTTGAAGAAGATTAACCAAACAGTTGATGGACCCCATTGACTGCCAAAAGGAAGTCAATTGGGCCTATCAACTGTTTGGTTTCAGACATTCTTCAAAATATATTTTGTGTTCAGCAGAAGAAAGAAACTCATACAGGTTTGGAACAATCGAGGGTGAGGAAATGATGACAGAATTTTAATTTTTGGGTGAACTATCCCTTTAAACACTTGGATCTAGTTCTTAATTGTATAATAGAGTCGATGTCATTGATCCAGTCTGCGTAAATAACACGGCAGGCCAATGTCCTTTCATTCAAGAGAGATTATCCACAATACCCGTTAGATAACATAACAACTACTGTTGTTTAATGCAATGGCAGAACTGTGCTTTGACAATCAAAGTACAGCCTTGTTTATTGCCTGTGTTTGTTTTGTGGTAATGGCAATTGCATCTAGTAATTCCCTTCACAGCCAGCAAAGTGAAGAAAACACTCCGGGAGTGTTTGGAACACAGTACGGAAAATTCCACATGAAATATTCAGCGTGTCACGCTCATATGACGCTCCGTTACGCTTGCTGGCATAAAGCGTTTCACTCTCCCTGATTAAGTGTGATATATGAAACAGTCTGGAACTTTCTCATATCACCGTCCTGCATAAATGAAGCACTGAAACCTGGAGGACGACACTAAAGACACCTTCATCTCGGAGCGTCGGTTTCATATCTGGACCTCTTTTGGAGTGATCAGCGCTGCGTTCTCTGCTGGCCGTCGCCATCTGCTGATTTACATATTGATAGATTCACCACGCAACATGACATCATGACTTTGCGTAAACATACACGCCACTTTCAATTCAAGTGGCGTGTTATCTATACGCATTTTGAGCTATCCGCGTGTATGTCCACGCCGAAATCTTTTGCGTGTCTCCGAGTGATTCCGCGTGTATGTGTACGCCGTTAAATGTCCGAGCGAAACGAAGCAAAATCTATATCTACATCTGTGGAGCGATATTTCTTTTCCTAGGATGGTAGGAGAAGACTCATAAATGGTATTAACCCCAGTGACGGGTAGGTTTAGGGACGGGGTTGGGGTAGGTCATATATTTATATATACATAATACAGTTATATAACGTTAAGTCAAAGGCGTTGATAAACACGCTGAAAAGCGATTATGCGTGTTGATAGCACGCCAAAAATGGAAATACGAATTGGCGTGTCATACATACGCCATTTCATGAGATCAGTCTGCACCACGAATGGGAACTCATTTCAGCTTTGAAGATTCGGCTTAGAGCGAATGTGAATTCATTTAGATTCCCATTTCCTGCGCTCATGAGCTCAGGACGACCCGAAGGAAGAGCGAGGCGGCGTCTCACAATGATTATGTTCACTCAATAAAGATAAGAAAGTGAAATGTAAAATACAATAAAAGCCCTCGTAGCTTTGCTGTTTTATAGCAATGTGATCGTGTTAGTAATTGTAGGTATTCGAATGTTAAGCTTGGTTCCGGCACACATAGCCGTTCGCAGAATCGCAGACACTGAAAAGTTTTAAAGTTGGCATGAAACAGAAGTCGTGATAGTCTTTCCTTCCCTGAGTGAAACGGCTTCTCGAGCAAGAACAAATGTAGGGCGGGGCTTGATTTTTGTCCATGGGGAATTGATTGGATGGTTGTGGTTTGCAATTGGTGGATCTCATGTGAGTGACAGGTTGCGCCAGTAAACATGTCATCAGAGAAGAGAAGATGCAAAAGGGAGGGGAAGTTATTTTGATTAAAGATTTCAAAGACATTTAAAAAACAATAATGATGTGCACGGATAAATCATTTTATTTCATTTTTGATTTCATGGAGACTTAAGATACACTGTAAAAAATTATCGTGATTTTAACGGTAAAAGACGGTACAAATGCTACAGTGAAAAACTGTTAATTGGTTAACAGAAAGTTTCCTTACTATATACGGTAAATAACTGTGATATATATAATGGTACATTTAATGTTACATTTAATGTTTACTGTACAGTTTTTGGAAGTGAAAAAGAACAAGTCATTGTATAATTTACAGTGAAAAAATGTAAATTGACATTCCCACAATTCCCTGCGTGACACTTCACATTTGATGTATTTTAAATAACTGTTTCTTCATAATTTTCTTAGTTTTTTTTAATCAGTTATGTACATCAGGGTTTTATGTTACATTTAATGTTGTTAAATTAATGCTTATTGCATTTTTTAAATTTCAACATGTTACCATGATGGTGTTTAATGTTTGTGTGAATGACACTGTGCAGCTTCTATATATTAGTATTAAATTTCTTGTGGAAGAGCTGCTTATGATGAGCTTTGGTTGACCATTTGACTCTGATCACTGCTGTGATTGTTGGCTGTCAGTGTATTACAATGGAAAAAAACAGATATTAATACTTCAAAAGGTCAGTAAATTAACATTATATCAGATAATGAAATACGGTTTATTGCTGTAAAATTATAAACGGTTAAAAGTCTGTAAAACCTAAAACGTTGCTACCGTATTTTTAACAGGAAAACTCTGGTAACCACAGCTGCCAGGGTTTTCCTGTAAATTTAACGTTTTTTTTTTTTTACAGTGTAGCCAGCACTTTTTTTTCGTGTGTTTGCAGAGACTGAAACGTCTTAACAAAATGTTAATATATCTTCACTCACACACACACACACATATATATTTACTTAATTGACCTAACCATCAGACTGATATCATTTTCTAGCAGCCGTTCTGTATTTAAGCTATATCTAGAGTTTAGGCCTCGACACCTAACTGGGTTTTGCTGATAAATAACTTCTGATGGCTTAGTGAACATATACTTGTGTTCTCTCCAACCCCTTGCATGAGCTCTTAATGGTTTTATCTTTCTCTGTTAAAACTTTGGAGTGATGCCACGCTCTCAGCATGGCTGAATTGATTAATTATTTATTAGCTCTTGCCATTCACCGACTGTCAAAG